GGGTTTTTCAGAAACTAGTAAGTGTCAAGTAGGGCCGATTCAAACACTTTCACTCTAGAAAGATGCTTTCATCAGACCTTCTTTTATATATTTCTGATGAAAGGAAGTATTTCACAAGGACATCAGTGGTTATGCTCTATCTTACCCATAGGACAGATAGGCAGTACATTCTTCCAAGCAGTGATTTGAGCCAGATCATACCAACACAGTGCTAGATCACTCACAGAGGATAGCTAAACAGCCAGGAACAGTCTTAGCCAAATATCTTACTGAGCATCTAAAATCACCTGCAAAAGCACCTTATACGATTACCAACAGGCACAAGGGCAAAGCACCAGCAGTTTGCAAACCAGTCCTCTGCTAGTCAGCACACTGGTCTTGCTCAGAGCCAGCTTCTACCTGGCAGGATTCATTAGCTCAGGCTCTCCTGCAAAAAAGAACAGAAATGCTCCTGGACTTTGCTGGTACCAGAGGAGCCTCCACTTTTACTCTCACTTTGACTCAGGAGATCTTGCACTAAGTCACCTGTGTGTGTCTCAGACTGAAGAAATGTTACATCAAATAAACTGTGTATGGCAAATTGTTTTATTTCTAAATCATGATATTATTGGGTTGGTTTTTTTAGCAAACACCTTCCAGGATCTATTCTGTATCAATCTTAACTGATAATCAGTTTTTCCTCTGAATTTTATAGCAAGTGCAAGATGTCTTTCAAGTCTTTAAGTAGTTTATCTTCACTCAAGAAACCCAACTTAAATACTCATGATACCAGTTCTTGTTTGTACCTTATGAAAGGATTATTTTTTTTCCCCAAGCAACATCTGATTTGGGATTTCTATTGTTGCTCTTTTATACTGAAGTGATTCAACACCATATGCAAACCGATGGCACTCCAGATAGGATTTATCACTTGCGTAAGGAGGGAAGAGCAAAGCCCACTCTATAAGCTACAGTCAACCACTGTTCCCATATCACTACTGCAACCATCTGCAGCTGTTACAGGCTTCAAAATCCGCACAGTAAATTCCTCCTAATTGCATAGCTGGTCCACTAGGACAAGCTACGGTAAGTTATTATTAGTGTCTTTCATAACATATAACACCAAAACTACTTCAGACTCAGGCGTTATAATTTAGAGTTTATATGAGCTCACCCTTCCTGCAAAGATCCTTGCACATCTGTTTCCTTCTCAGCTGATAGTGTGTTAGTGTTTTTCACAATTCAAGCATTCAAGTCTCAGAATGAGTCCAAATAATACTGTATTTATTCAAACAGTCCACAGCCTTCAAAAGACTAGAGGAAAAATGATAGAGATTAAGGCAAATAAAAACCTGCTTCCCTGTCTCACTCCTCAAAAATCATTTATTTCTGGAACATGCAAAAAACCCATTATTTTTTACCTAAACTTCTGCTGGAATTTAAGAATTCTGACCATTGATTATACAAGATACTAAATATCCACAATACAAAATATTAAAAATAGCTATTTTATTGGATTTAATTATAAATAATTTTATCGTAAACAGGCTTAGATAAATAGATCTCTCACTATCCCAGGCAGTAACAGGAAATGAGTTTGCTTTCACTAAGACTCATTTCTGCAATCTCACCGGTAATCATTTATTACAAAAAAAAATCTGTTCTGAAAAACACGAATCCTATGTCAATGAACAAATGGGGGGGGAAATCATATAGAGTATCTTAATTCCCAAAGTACTATTCTCGATGCCTTCCCCCCCATTTATCCCTCCGAGGTTAAGTAACAGAAAATGGCTGAAAGTGAGAAAAACAAGGGAAAGAAAATGGTGTCGAGGCTCTTGATTGGTCAGATTTTGCTGCAGAGTCCCAGTCCCTGACACAGAGACAGGAAGATTTGCTAAGATGAAGCGTATCAGCAGCTAAGAGAAAACCAAGAGTCTTGCAGATTTAGGCTTTCCAAAAGAAATATTTTATCTCCGCAACTCCCCGTGGCTCCTTGTTTCTGAGTTTAAATGAAGGATGCAGCCAGCTCAATCTGACCGCTTCTTAAAGGCACAGCTGCTCACTTGTAGCACTGAAAAAAACAAAAAGACATTCTTTCCAATACTGCAGTGGAACAGCAAGCTCCCCAAATTACATAAACAGGCCTGCAGTATAAAAAAAAAATTGAAAGGCGACGTAAAGTCAGAGATAATTTTGGAAATCTAAATTTTTCAGGCACCAGTTGCAGATTTATTGAGTAGGAGAGCAAGGGGTTGTGCAGCTGAGCTTACAGGCAGGGAGAAACCCCGTTTTCCAGGTAGGTTCACAAAAGTCACCAAATATGACAGATAGGGAAGAACCTCCATTTAAGCATAATTCTGGACTCAATGTCAAGTTTTTAATCACTAATACTCCTTGGAAAACGTTTCCTCTGTACTCAGTTCAGCAAATATTTTTGGGAGCCTAAATACAGATGGAGAAAATTGATCCAAATAGGCGTCTCTAATCATTCACACCAGATATACCCAGAACCATGAAGGATGCCACGAGTGTGTCCCCAAGAAAACACCACCAAAAAGCACACCTCTTTTGAAAACGGGACTCGCAGAAATTACCCTTGCCGCTGCCCTACCCCCAGCTCTCTGGAAACACAACGCTTACCACAGGAATAAAATAAAAGTGCTTGAGAAGGGCTGAAGATGCCCGGGGGACATCGCTCACGACAGGGACAGACCACAAGTGATAAAGCACTGAGAAAACTGCCGAGCGGGCGGGAACGGGCTCCTTGCGCCTTTAGAAATAAAACAACACCCACGCAAAAAAAAAAAAAGGAGGGGGATGGAAAGGAAACAATATTTCTGTTGGGACCATAAACCGTAATGTTGTTACCATAAGAACATAAAGTAAACGCAGCACAGCAGGAGACAATTTACAATAGCGTTAACTCTGAACACATCTTCTCTAACCGAGAATACAGAGTTCTGTAAAGTCTCACCTTTAGAAATTAAAGGTGTTGTGCGCAATTACTTTCAAGACATACAGGCAAACAGGTTAAAAATATATACAAATCTTTCAGAGCTGGGTATTTACTTCAGAAAAGGAAAGCCCGCGGTTAAAACTTTTTCCTTACCATCTAAAAAGGAAGTCACCAGAGAGAACGTGTAGAAAGGCATTTTGACCCTAAACGGAGACTTGCCCTAGCACGATCACCTCAGCTGGCATTAACACCATGCCGTTTCGCTACGGCCAGAATCATTTTCAACCCCTCTGAAAAGTGATGTACGCGTTTTGCTTGGTACTTACTCGGCGGGATACGGGCTCTTGGTCACGAAAAGCATATGGAAACACATCGCTGCCCACACAGGACTAAGAGTTTACAGCTCTCTTTAGTGGCCATGTGGTGGCTCTTAAAAGAGCCTTTGGGTTTTCGGTAGTCTGAGATCCGTTTGCTAGAAGCTTAAGCGCGCTCGCCGCGGATGCGGCGGGCCAGCTGGATGTCCTTGGGCATGATGGTGACGCGCTTGGCGTGGATGGCGCAGAGGTTGGTGTCCTCGAAGAGCCCCACCAGGTAGGCCTCGCTCGCCTCCTGCAGCGCCATCACGGCCGAGCTCTGGAAGCGCAGGTCGGTCTTGAAGTCCTGCGCGATCTCCCGCACCAGGCGCTGGAAGGGCAGCTTGCGGATCAGCAGCTCCGTCGACTTCTGGTAGCGCCGGATCTCGCGCAGCGCCACCGTGCCGGGCCGGTAGCGGTGCGGCTTCTTCACGCCGCCCGTGGCCGGCGCGCTCTTGCGGGCCGCCTTGGTGGCCAGCTGCTTGCGGGGCGCCTTCCCGCCCGTCGACTTACGCGCCGTCTGCTTCGTGCGCGCCATCTTCCGCGGTGCCGCCGCCGAGCACGGAGCAACACAAACCTGTGCGGAGAGCGGCCGCCGGGCCGCTATTTATAGCCATCACCGCCCTGTGATTGGCTAGCGGGAAGGCTCACATTCCATTGGACAATGGGAAGGATTTGAAAAGCCCGCCGTCCGGCGCGGGGCGGGGGGCGGGACACGGCCGGTTCCCGCGCCGCAGTCCCCTCCCGCGCTGATCTCGGTTCCCGTCTCCTCGGCTCTGCCCCGGCGGCGGTCGGGCGCTCCGCCACAGCGGTAACCCGCCGGCGGACGGGGAGTTTTTACCCTGGCCCCGCAGCAGAGGCTTTTATCGCCGCCTCTGTCCCGGGCAGCCGGGATTTCAGCCCCCTTGCGAAAGGCTTTTTCGAAAAACCAGCCCTCCCTGCACACATCCCGCGCCACCTGAAGTTCGATAAAGTGCTCTGGTTCACTTTTTTTTTTAAGCGTGTATTATTTTTTACTTGTATTTTCCTATTACGTTGTCACTTAGGACCTATGAGGAACCACTTTATTCTGCGGCACTTATTCTGCATCAGAGACGACACAAAAAAACCTACGTCACATCCATATCAAATCTCTGGGACTAATGAAATTACATTGTTCCCTATAGCATTTCACTTCTGCTGCATGTGGCACGATAAATTTCATGAAATGTTGTCTCCCAAATATCACACGTTCAAAGACTAATCCTTATGGAGCTCTGAGTAAACAAGCTGCTCTGGCTTTTGGCCAAGTCAGTTGAGAATGACAGCTGATGTTTAAAAGGGACAACATTTTCTTAGGAGAGGTATAAACTGCATTAGAATAAAGCTGTTGTTAAAAATAAATAAATAAATCTTTATTTCATGCCAGAACAGCAGAGAGAAAAAAAACAAACTGAATGCTACCGTGCATATTTCTCTGTACTTACTGCAGCTAATTGTTCTAAAATGAGGAAAGAAAGCTTCAGTAGTTTTAGAACTCGATTAGGTGCTTGACAGACAGCCTTTTGATACACCTGCCCAATGAACAGCCAGGGTAGGGCACACACAAAACCACCCTAATCATTCCCAGTACTTCTAACATGACAAGCATTTTCTCTACTATTAAAATGTCCTAGTCAGGGAACAAAAACAGCACTAAATACAAGTACCACTCACCAAATCGAATCAGTGTGAACGACTCTTTTACTGAAAATGTGGGTGGCTCTTAAAAGAGCCTTTGGGTTAGACGATCTTCCAGAGATTTACTTGGAGCTGGTGTACTTGGTGACGGCCTTGGTGCCCTCGGAGACGGCGTGCTTGGCCAGCTCGCCGGGCAGCAGGAGCCGCACGGCCGTCTGGATCTCCCGCGAGGTGATGGTGGAGCGCTTGTTGTAGTGCGCCAGGCGCGAGGCCTCGCCGGCGATGCGCTCGAAGATGTCGTTGACGAAGGAGTTCATGATGCCCATGGCCTTGGACGAGATGCCCGTGTCGGGGTGCACCTGCTTCAGCACCTTGTACACGTAGATCGAGTAGCTCTCCTTCCTAGTCTTTCTACGCTTCTTGTCACCCTTCTTCTGCGTCTTGGTGACAGCTTTCTTAGAGCCCTTCTTCGGAGCAGGAGCGGATTTAGCTGGTTCCGGCATTTTACAAGCCTGTCGCTACCTGTCTACCGCAGGAACGACGTAAATACAATAGCGGCGACCCCCGTATTTATAGGGACGGTATGCAAATGAGATGACTCAAGGCTGTTCTTGTCTATTGGACAATCCGACTTCGTGATGTCAAACCATCTGGCACCTCCGATTGGTCGCCACTTCATCTGTGTTCCCATTGGTTAACTTCACAATCGCAGCCTCCGCCAATCAGAAGTCCCACCGAAGCCCAGAAGGAAGGGATAAAAAGGCAGGGTGGCAGCTCTTACTGCATTTCTTCTGCTCCCGCAGGTTGTTTTTTACTCTTTTACGCAGGTTTCCTTTTTGTTTTGGTTTTTTTTTTTTTTAAGTCTTGAGACATGTCCGGCCGCGGGAAGCAGGGCGGGAAGGCGCGGGCCAAGGCCAAGTCGCGCTCGTCGCGGGCCGGGCTGCAGTTCCCCGTGGGCCGCGTGCACCGGCTGCTGCGCAAGGGCAACTACGCGGAGCGGGTGGGCGCCGGCGCCCCGGTGTACCTGGCGGCCGTGCTGGAGTACCTGACGGCCGAGATCCTGGAGCTGGCGGGCAACGCGGCCCGCGACAACAAGAAGACGCGCATCATCCCCCGGCACCTGCAGCTGGCCATCCGCAACGACGAGGAGCTCAACAAGCTGCTGGGCAAGGTGACCATCGCGCAGGGCGGGGTGCTGCCCAACATCCAGGCCGTGCTGCTGCCCAAGAAGACCGACAGCCACAAGGCTAAAGCCAAGTAAAACTCTTCCAACAAACAACCCAAAGGCTCTTTTCAGAGCCACCCACATCTTCCTGAAAGAGCAGGAACACCCGAGCCTACAAATAACTTGCTTCTCTGGAAACTTTACAGAGGTCGAGGGAAGGTTTCTGATGCATAAACTTCCTATATGTTCCTTCAACTTTATATTTTGCTGATCGGTGTAGGTCCCTGCATTTTTCTTTAAGAACTTAACGTACTTATGTAAGCGTTTCTCAGCTTCCGTTTTCTGAAGAAAACAATAAAAGGCAGCGGTTTAGACTGGGGTCAGTCACCGCAGCGTGGTGTGGGGAGGGGAGACGAGCACACGGCCGGGGTGGGCTCGCTGCTCTCCGCTCCGTGGCTTCAGTGGGGGAAGCGGCGTTAATCCCGCGGAGGTGGCCGTGGCGGGAGGGGAGGGGGCGGAGTTTCCGTGCCCGCCCGCGGCGAGGGGCGGGGCCGCAGGCGGCCAATCCGAGGGTAGCGCGCGGTTTTCAAACGCGGGGCGGGGCGCGCGTTTCTCCCGGCGCAGCCGCCGCTGCCCCGTTCCGCGGGTGTAAAAGGAGCCCGAGTGTGTTTTGAGTGGTGGCTGCTCTGTTCTTCTGCCTGCTGGGGCTGGAAATCGAACTGGAGGATCGGGAGTTAAACCAAAATACGCCCAAGTGTATTTTTCCATAGCGTGTGGGTTCGTATAGCAGCGCTGTGGAAAGTCGTATATACGCGCGGCAGGGCATCATCGTGTACCAGTCTAGACTTGAACTGATGTTTCAATTCTTTCTTTTTCATTCTGACAGCGTGGGTGGCGGTTAAAAGCGCTGTTGGGTTTTTTTCTCTCAAACTTTGCTCTTACAGTATTGCCCCCTGGACTCTGCCTTCTTCACCTTGGCTGCGCTCTTTGGTGCCACCTTTTTGGGCCTCTCGGCCGTGGCAGCCGCCACCTTCTCGGGGCTCTTCGCTGCTGCCTTGGCCTTCTTGAGCGTGGGAGCCCCCTGCGCTCCGTGGAGGGGATCCCGGCCTCGGCGATCACCTCGGTGCCGCTGGGGCCCGCCGGCTTTGGAGCCGCCCGCCGCCGCCTTCGGCTTCTTGGAGGCGGGGGCCGAAGCGGCGAGTAGTCTCGGACACAGAGACAGGTTTAAAGAAAAAAAAAAAGAGAGGAAGGGAGTATTGGGGGATAGAAATCAGGATAACCAGCGAGAGGCCGGTATTTATAGGGAGGAGCCTCTCCGCCCTTGGTGTCTCGGGGACCCCGTCCCGCTGGAAGGGTTCTCTCCCCTCTGTTTCTTCGGAACCGATTTGGGTTTTTTTAGTTTCACTGGAAGGGACACTGCATTCCTGCCTGTTAGGCAGATATGGGTAAACCAGGATCTTATTTCTTTTTCTTTCGGTGGTGGTGTATGCGGACGAAAACAAACCCAGCGGGAGGGGAGGCAGGAAAGCACCGCCGGGAGCTGAGAGCCCCGGGCTGGGCCGGGGGGGGAGGTGTGTGTTTTCTTTGTTCCTTAAAAGCGCCCCTGGAGACCTAGGGCGAGGAACACTGCTGCTTTTTGCAGTGTCCTCCCTCGGGAGGCGGGGGAGTGAGTCACTGTAGCAAGGCGTTAATCGAAAATGTTTTTCAAGCAGGGAGAGGTAACACTGGAGTGCCTGGCTGAAGTGGTGCTGGGAAACAAGATGAGAATCGCGGGACTTGTTTTAAACTGTACTTGCTTCTTACACAGTTTTCAAGGTGTGTTGGTTTGGTTTCGGTTTGGGTTTTTTTTTTGGGGGGGGGGGTCGTTGGTGGTTTTCTTATTTTTTCCCCGAAACGGGCAGAGGACTTTTTTTTTTTCCTTTTTATCAGCCCCCTCTTATTCACAGAAGTAGTATTAAGTACTGATCACCTACTATTCAGAGATGGACTTTATTAGTAGCCATGCTGAAATTCGAGGCTTAGAACTAGGTTTCAAACATTTAAGGATTACTTTTTGTTTAACAATCTCAGTTTATTTAATGTAGTATATTAAGAAAACAACTTTCTATCGGTGGATATTCGCGGGGGGGGGGCGGAGATTACCTGGGTCTGAAGCAGAGCACGGCTTTGCAGAATGTCCTGATCGGGCCATTTGAAAATCCCATGTTTTGCAGCAGAGGCCTCCCAGGTCTCATTTTTGCCCTCGGAAACACAGGGTGACGCAGGAGCATTTGTCTCTTTTCAGGACCAATGCTCACACTGAAGTGCCTGAGAAGGAAGGGTGTCTGTTTTGCGTCTCTTGGAAATTAGGGAAGGAGGGTTTTTTTCACCACTGATGTTTGAAAAATCACTCAAACCCACAGGTATTCTAACATTTTCTTTTCAAATGAGAGATGGACAGCTGGAAATCTAGTCTAAAGTATTATTTTTTCCATTCCTCACTAGAAACTAGTTACACTCAGTAATCATGAATCACAAAATTTACCATTTTGTTCTCTGCCTTTTTAGCCATGTTTCCCCCTTGAAATGGTGCATATAAAGAGCTCAGTTTCCTTTCATAACAGTTTATGACTGATGTTCTGTTTTCTATGCCACCAACAGTGTTTTCATGATGGTTCTTAGCATGGTTTTATTCGTACAGGCAAACTGATGAGTTCTGTATACCAAATCCTCTTTTTCTTTAGCTAAAATATGACTGGAATATTTTCCTGCAGTTACTGCATATAGTTCTTCTTCCTTGTTTCTCCTGACCAGCCATCCACATTCAACATAGAAAGGCAACATATTCTTCCACCTCATGTCACTATGCTTGTTACAAATGAACTTGTCTTGTCTGCATACCATAGTTAAATAAAACTCCTATATATATTAAAATAGAAGAGAGAATTGGAGTATGACACCTATTTACTTATGTGACAGATGAGACTTAAAAAAGTGTCCTTTAATAACAATATTTAATTTCAGTTCAGATGCTGAATTTCTAATTAATCTGGATCCTTCCTCGGATTTCTTTCCAACTATTCAGACAGCCTAACCTCTCAGATTTCTACATAAAGGAGGAAGGCTTTAGATTTAAGCACAATGCATCACAGTTGATGGTGGTCATGAAAAAACATTTAGTGTCATAGATGACTTTTACTTTCAACCTTCAAGTCCACACAAAGTATATATCCTTATGCTTTAAAGTACTAGTTATAGCATAGGTAGTGCAATCTCTCAGATAGCCTTCTCCCAAAGCATGTTATTCAACCTGTAGATACTTAATAGTTTTCTGTTTCTCCATAAAACACTAGAAGATAATAAGCAAGGTAATAAAAACAAACAAAAAAAACCATGCTCAGTTGTAGAAATTTCCCGAGTTTGCAGGCAAACTAGTAGAACAGAATGAAGTCATAAAAGAACATTCACATTTCATTAACTTTATCATAGTGAGAACAGTGTATTGGAAAAGTTCCTAAATGTTCTTTGCCTTCAAAAAGTCTTATTCATGTTTTTCTTGAAACAGACTATGCTTGACTTGCTCTGGAATGACCTGATTGTGGACAGCATAAAGTCCTTGTCCAAACTCCCTTGGTACTTAGCAGTCTTCCTCAGTCTTAGAGGAAGGTGTGAATTTTTTTATTCCCCCTCCCCTACCCCCCC